ATATACAACTATCCCTTCCACAACATGATCTTCCCCACAGCAGTTTCGATATATTGTGGGTTGGCATAAGAAATTAAATGGGAATTTTTTGGAAGTTTTGCAGAAGCCACACCAAGGCCAGCAGACAACACAGCAAAAGTTTAGAAACTCAGAAATGCATAAGATACATATTGTATAGTATTGTATAATATCAACATATTTTAGTATAGTATTGTATTGTGTTGTATAATAATATATTTTCTCTTTTAATACCATAAATATATATAATTTCTTTTTTAAAGTTAAGAGAAGTAAGAAGTTGAAGTTTTCAAAAAGAACACAAGCCAGCAGATGATACACAAAAGCTAGAAATGTGTAGATATCACATTGACCTACATATACCCCGTGACCAAATACCTAACCCAAATTTTACAACTTTTCTGGTACAGAAAGCCAAAAAATTTTATGCTGATTTTCCAGGTTGCAGAAGCCCCTAACCTCCATGATGTGGGAGGGATAATCATAAACTTCTTAAGGGCAAAAATTGCTGTCTTTCTTTTTGCTTATATTTGTATTTCCAATGTTTAGCACAATTCCTGGCACAGAGTAAACACTAATAAAAGCTTATTGCTTTACCAGCTTCTCTGGCTTAAGTCTTGGCTAAAACCTCCCCTTCTTCAAAAAGCCCTTCCCAGTCCTCTTTAATCTGAATGTCTTCCTTCTGAGATTACTTCCAGTTTGCCCTCTTTATGTCTTATTTGTACATAGTTTTTTCTACATTGTCTCCTCTATTAGACTGTGAGCTCCTTGAGAGCAGGAAATATTTTTTTCTTTTTCTTTGTATATTCAGTGCTTAGAACAGTGCCTGGCATGTAGTAGATGTTTAAAAAATGCTAGTTGACTGATGGACTGACCCAGGTCCTAGTGTTATTTGGTAGCTTTTCTGGTAAAGAAGCCTTATCTGGTTTATAAGCTAGGCTTAAAAGATGGAAAATTGGAGATATAGAAAAAGCTTACCATAAATCAGAGCGAGTCCTTTGGCAGAAGGCTCCAAACTCATAGGTCAAGAAAAATCCAAAGCAATGACTTAGCCTGAGGCTCTTAGCTGTCTGGGAGGAACCGCATTCTTGGCTCTAAAGGACTTGGCATCTAGTTCTGAGAACCTCCTCTATGAAAGAAGAAAGTCTTTAGAATCAAGATTCTGAGGGAACAAGGCAAGAGAACCCACATGGAGGGTTTTTACTGGTTCCTATATAAGTTTTTCTGCCATTTTCCAGAAGACTTGGGAAAAGGCCAGGGGCTTTAAGTTAAAAGTACATGGTAGCCCCCCACCCCTCCCCTGAGAGAGAGCCAAGAATTCCAGTTGGGTCCAAAGGTGGTGGCAATAGAGATTTCAGCCAAGTAATATCTGAGCAATGTCCAGTGGAGATTATGAGACCGAGAGGGAGCAGCGTCCAATGGAGACTTGTCGTGAGCAGTTCAGTGACATGACTGAAAGACGTCAGTAGCTGTGCAGCATCAAGGTGTGAGTTGCTTCCATATGTGCACACTGGACAGATAGGTTCCCTCTGTATGTTCACTTTTACATGAGTACACTGGCTACGCGTTCCCTAAATAGGCATTGCTGCATGCATGCACTGTGTCTACACATATTTCCCATGTGTGCCCAAGTCATGTGTTTTCCTTATATGTGTGCCTCATTATATATATATATATATATATTAGCTACATGGGTCCACTTTCTATTGATACTTTATCATGGAAGGGGGTGCTCAAGGTTTATAAGTGAAATGCTTTGCTGTTACTTTGTTTACTATTTCATTTTACCAAATGCTTTTGCTTTGAACTAATTGTGTCCTCTCTAGCTAATTATTGAAGGCAAATATGTCAGCGGCAGCTCATTCAGTAGCTATGGTTTTAGGGGATGTAGACTCACAGTATACCTTAAATCCTGGGTAATTTTCAGCCAAGGGAGCCACTCTGTGAGTTATGGGGGGTTCCCCGGGTACTACATAAAGTTTTACTCTCCTCAGTACATTCACCCAGCAAGTAAGGGTGGCAGGAACCACATCATATCCATCAGAAAGCCATACACAGGAAATGGAGAGTCTCTGAGCAATACTACCATATTTCCATTACCTAAGATGATCATACCTTTGGCAGCAGACAACAGGTTATGAATGATTCCATTTGCATGGAGCAAATGTAATTTCTTGCTGTGATTAATGTATTTAAAAGAGAGAGAGAGAGAAAGTTATTTTTTGTGCTCTGTCATCGCCTGTTAAGGAAATGACACCAGAGAGCAAAGTTAGAAGCAGCCCAGTGGAGAATGTGGTGGGTTAGAGATATTTGAAGATTTGACTGACAAGGAGGGCATAGGTATAGTCTCAACCACAGAGAATAAATATACTTCATATCTAAAAAAGACTATTCAAAACATGCCACTCCGGCAAAATGGAATTATTGGCCTTTACACCTGGCCATTGTGGTTTGATTCTGCCTTACACAACTGATTCCCACTAACCTGAGCTGCCTTTTTTTCCTCTCCTTATCCTCTCTTATCTCTCTGTATCAGCTGACATGGAGCACCACTGGCCTTCATTTCCTCTCTTGGTTTCCATGACACTAAATTCTCATGGTTCTCCTACTATATCTCCTTTTTGATTGCTTCTTATCTTCTACTCCTTAAAGGTAAGTGTATTTCAAAGCTCTATACAAGGCTAGCTTTTCTTCTCTTTCTACATCCTCTTCAATATAAGGGACTGCTTTCTGTTGTTCATTCATATGCAATTCTTCCTGACTCATTGGGATTTTCTTGGCAAAGATACTGGAGTGGTTTGCCCTTCCCTTCTGCAGTTCATTTTACAGATGAGGAAACTGAGGCAAACAGGGGAAAGTGACTTGCCTGAGGTCACATAACTAGTAAATGTCTGAGGCCAGATTTGACCTCAGGAAGATGAGTCTTCCTGATTCTAGGCTCAGCACTCTATGGCGCCACCTAGCTGCTGAAGGGAATGCCTTACCCTAAGTCATACTTAATGTTTATAGGAGCAGTGAAATCCCGAATTTCTCTCCAGGATCTTCGGACAGGAGTTGGGATCTAGGATGGGGCTACCTGGCCCACAGAGCTTCTTTCCTTTGGCTCTACGCCTCCTGCCCTATGGGGAAGTTACTTCTTTCACCTTCCAGTAGATCTACAAGACCTCTGGCTCTTTGTCCTTTATATACAAACTGATTAATTTTGACTCACTAAAAAGTTTAAATTGTTTACTACATGAAGTTTCAAAGAATACTGGTGTGTAAGGAAGCTATCAACAAAAATGTGTTTTCAGCTTACTTCATGTTTATTTATTTAGGCAGTTGGGGTTAAGTGACTTGCCCAGGGTCATACAGCTAGTAAGTGTCAAGTGTTGGGTCTTAGGCTGGATTTGAACTCAGGTCCCCCTGACTGCAGGGCCAGTGCTCTATCCACTGTGCCACCTAGCTGCCCAAAATAAAATATTTGCAGAAAAAGTTTAAAATTGAGGTGCTAAAAAGGGAATCACCTTGCTTGTACAACATATAGCAAGAGATCAAAGTTCTTATGTTTTTAGTGATAAAAACCTAAATAAGCGGCATTTGCTATCCCATTAAGAAGAAAAAGAACAAAATCTATTTTCAGTATCTAAGTGGGAAACTTGTATGGGCCACATAAAACCAACGCGTGTTAACTACTTGATAAGAAGCTGTTTTAGTATTATAAGGAAGGGGCTCTTAAAGTTCATAGGGAACTATTGAGTTATGAGGTGATTCCAAATACTAAGAGATAACCAGAGAGGCAGAGTGACTTAGTGGCCAGAGAACTGGATTTGGAGTCAGAGATGCTTGGGGGTAAGCTCTGTCCCTGACCCATAATGGCTGAGTGACTGTGCAGCTTACTTAATTTCTCAGTGCCTCAGCTCTCTAAGACAGAAAGCTTCAGAGCAGACACTGATCCTCTTTGTAGAAGGGATACCACCCCTTGGGGGCGCTGGAATGATCCAGGGGGGCAGTAGTAGCCTCGGGTTCAATTGGGGGGGCATTGAATAAAAATAAAGGGGTGGTAGAAGCATACCGTTCGCACATGTCTCATCTGCTGTATAAGAGAGTAAAGTCAGAGTGATTACATTATTTTCCAAATAAGCACACAGAATACAAGTTATAATAGATCAGTGGTCAAGTCTGGGGACAGATCATAATAAGCAGGTGTTGGCAGGTGAGCATGTCACACATCGTCTGGAAGGCCAGCATGCATCGGCAGGAATATGTGGGTAGGATGACTTGTTTACAATATGATGCTATAGGGTTACGTGACACAATATTTTGTCATCAAAATTTCAATGCAGGGAAAAAACCCACAAATTTACAATAAATTTGATGCATCATTTAAAATATTTTATATTTTTTGAAAGGATGCAAATTTTAAAAAAAAACATAAAAGGGCTAAAGAAAATAGATTTTGGGGGGGCTGAGTAATTTTTTTTAAAGGGGGCAGTAGGCCAAATAAGTTTGGGAACCGCTGAAGGGGTAGAAGGGGTTTTCTTACCGGGAGTTGCCTATATTGTAGAAATAAGAGCTCCGAGCCAAAAAAAAAGAAAAGAAAAGAAAAGAAAGGAATTGTCTTTTAGAATCATAGAATGTTGAGATAGAAAAGGATCTTTAAGATCATTTAGTCCAACCTTGTCATATTACATGTAGCCCAGACACACATACATATGTGTGTGTACGTATTCTAAGATTCTTATCCTAACTCCAGATTGCATAGACATGTCAGGTCCCAAGAAGGTAGTTATATCTCTCCCTCTGGGATCTAGGGGTACTCTTGAAGGACTAGGGGTATTTCTCTAATGTTATTGGCTCAATCTCTTCTCTCCCCCATTCAAGTATGTTTTTTACAGCATCGACCACTAGTTTTCTCTTTGATACGAATACCATTGATTTGCATCCCACTCTCAATTTAATTAGTAAACCTCAGTTAGTTTTTGCAAAGAGATATTTATTAAAAGAATATAGCCCAAACCACAGCATAAAATATCCCTACTAAAACTGGGACTCATTCACCCCTTTACCACCGTGTTTCCTGCAGAAGAGTGGGCTCAAATTAAAAATCAGTTGCTATGAAACATTGACCTCAGCAAATTCACTTCCATGTGTGACATGGCTGCTGGACAAGCTGTTCCCGGGCCATAGAATGACACTTTGGCTTCCATTGATGTACTTCTGGCCTGGGTATCCTCAATGGGCTTGACTGCCAGCCAACTCTGGCATGGATTCCAGTTCCTGGATCTTTCTAGGTCTCACAAGGCCCTGTGCCAAAAGAAAGAAGAAATTAACAAGAGGAGGCCTCCACGGGAGATACTGGCTTGCCCAGGCATCTTGCTGGCTTAATAAGGGGGAAGGCCACCTTCCCACTGACTCTCCAGAGCTCAGAGAGTCATTCTTACACTTTGTGGCCAGCAGGAAAGAAAGAGAACAAATTTAGTCATTGGCTGCTTTTGTGTAAATCCTCAGTTCTGGCTCAGCAGCTAACTAAAAAGACTGAAAGGCCTTTTCTCCACCTCAAAGGAAGCAGATAGGAAATAGAGAATACCTGTGCATGCTCTGAAGTGGATAGCTAGGCACCTCCATTCGTATCTTCACAAATTTTCAGAATCAGGCTAATCAAACATCCACCTGGGTCCGCTGTGTGTGCTTTCACTACTTAGAACTCACTGGCCAGTGTCCATTACATAGAGATGAAGAAACCTAGGCTCAAAGAAAATTGACTTGGCGAGAGATGCAGATAATTAAGATTATAACTGGATTGAGAATGTGGGTTTTCTCTTTGCTCTCTCTGTTCTAGCATCATTTGTTTATAACTGAGCACGCGCGTGCGCGTGCACCCCCCACCCCCACCCCCACCCGCCCACAAGATATTACAATGGAGAAGTTGAATATTTAAACTACAGCTTTGTCAGTTATTACTTGCGTGACCTTGGGTAAGTCATTTACTTTCTCTGGGCCTCAGTTTCCTCATTTGTAAAATGAGGAGGGGGGGATGAATTAAACGATCTTCTAGTTCTAAATATAGAGTCTTATGAAATCAATTCCTTTTTACCTAGCCTATTAATTTCCCACCATAAATAGACACTTAGGGACTTAACATACATTTCCTTTGGGCAATGTGCTATAACAGAAAAACAAAAATCATGGATTTGGATCAAGATTCAGAAGACCTGTGTAAATGACCTGTTCAGATGGGTCCTGGACTGGTTGCCTCATTGGCTGGGGTAAAGGCACTGAAGAACCTTGGGATTTGTAGTCTTTACAGACCTGGGAACTATCATGCTCTTGGAACTGGAAGGCAGAATTTTCTGTGTTAGTGGGAGATTTAAAAATTGCTCTGCATCAGATTCAGGCGGAAGGTAGAGAGGGGAGATGAAGTTAAGAGCTATGTGTAATAGAGAGTAAACCATGGTATGCCTATGGCAACCAAGGCAATGGACTGAGCAGAGGGGCTGGCTTCCATAGCTCAGCCTCTGCTTTCTGGAATGAAGAATTTAGCCAGAGTTTATCAGGTCATTGCCCCTTTAATAGCTTAGGAAGCTCTGAACTGTTTGTCATGATTTTATTTTTCACTATTCTTTTCAGCTGTTTTTATCCTGATTTTTATTCACATAAAAACCCATGTTTGATCATGAATGTTGTATGTTACATTGTCTGTATATTGGTTCCATCCCAGGGAAACGATGGAAACCAGTGATTAGCTTAAAACACACAGGAATTTAAATGGAAGGGAATATTTATATAGCACCTAGTGTGTTCTAGAGACTGTATCAAGTGCTTTACAAAGACTATCTTATTTTATCCTCATAACAGCTCTGAGAGGTAGGTGCTTTTATTATCTCTATTTTACAGTTGAGAAAACTGAGGCAAATTGAGGTTAAGTGACTTGCTCAGGGTCACATAGCTAGTAAGTGCCTAAGGCTGGCTTTGAACTCAGGTCTTCCTGACTCTTAGCACTGTACTGCTTCATTCATACCCATGGGTCATTTCTGAGAATTGTGAGTCAGGGTACTCACAGTACCTGTCTTGATGACTAGATTTTGAGTGTGGTTTACAGTTTGACTGCTTATTAAGATTTTTAAAAACTAATAATAACTGAAATAATAAAGTAATGATTTGTAAGCTCCATAAAATAACAGAAGAAAAACCCATGTAGATTCCAGTCATTGTCTTGGATAAATCTGATCTCTTTGTTTGCTGTAAGGGTGGATAGTTTTACAATTCAGTAGGATTAAGTAATCTCTATCTCCTCTCCCACCAGAGAGAAGAAAGAAAGCAAACAAGCAAGCATTTTATTTATTTATTTATCTATTTATTTATTTATTTATTTATTTTTGTATGTGAGGCAATTGGGGTTAAGTGACTTGCCCAGAGTCACACAGCTAGTGAGTGTTATGTGTCTGAGGCTGGATTTGAACTGAGGTCCTCCTGACTCCAGGGCCAGGACTCTATCCACTGTGCCACCCAGCTGTCTCAGCAAGCATTTATTAAGCACCTACTGTGATCCAAGCACTGGGCTAAGGACTTTACAAATATTATCTTATTTGTAAATGAGAGAGGGGATAAGAACAGGACAAAGGATGTGAAATACGGGTAGGTATCAGAGGGAAGACCATTCCATTAAATCCCAGTATCATTGACAGACATGGTCTGTCAGGAATTAGCCCTGACTACTTCCAGATGAGAGGAAAGTTCTCATTTTCAAAATTGCCCTTCACAGCAGCACTTGCTGGTTACACCTATCTGTTAAATGCATAACCACTTATTGGCCATGGGACCTTGGGCAAATCATTCAGCTTCTCTGGCCCTCAGCTTCTGCATCTGTAAAAGAGATAATTATGCGACTTGTACCATCTACTTCATACAGGTGTTGTAAGACAACACTTTGCAAACCATAAAGTACAATATAAATGTCAGCTATTGCATTAAATTTCAAGAGTTTTGAAGAGATAAAATTTGAAGTGGCAACAAAATGAGAGTCAGTTATTCAGTCAGTCAACAAGTAAGTAGGTGCACAAAATTTGAGAGGTTAGAAGGCATTTTTATATGCCTGTCTCTTTGTCTCTATCTCTCTGTCTCTTCCTCTGTCTCTCTCTGTTTTTCTTTCTCTCTCCATCTCTCTATCTCTGTCTCTTGCTCTAGTACTGGGTCTCTGATTTCATTGGTAAAGGAAACTCCTGGTCAGAAAACCCCCTCTATCAATGCAGGTCCTATAACCTGTACTCTTAGAAAGTTGCCTAAAGCACTAAGGGGTTAAATGACTTGCTTAGGGTCACCACAACCAATATAGGACAGAAGCAGAGACTAGGTCTTCTGTATTCCAAGGTCACCTTTCCAGTCACTGTGCCAAGGTCCTCTGAGTGACAGAAAGAGTTTGGTCAGTCAGTCAAACAGCATTTATTAAGCCCTTACTATTTACCTTCCTTCCTCTATGTCTTTTAACACTGCATTTGTACCAGGGCAGAATATGAGCTGTCCTTCTGTTATACTTTGCCTTTATCATGTGATCAGTCCATCACTTTTTCAGTTATTTTCTTGGATGATCTTTTCTGTTACATCTTGTGTACAAGCCATCACAGGCACAGTGCTAAGCACTGGAAACACAAATACAAGCAAAAAGAAAGACGATTCCTGCCCTCAAGGAGCTTACATTCTAGTGGGGTAGAAAAACACATAAAAGGAAATTGAAAAGCAGGGAGGAGATAAGAATAAGATGCCTCATGCTGAGTTATGATGAAAAAGTTCAGAGAAGTACAGCCTGGTGCTAAATGAAGAGCTGGCTGGCCCGGGCACCCTCCTTAAATGACGGCTCTGGGAAAAACCATCCAAACAGAGGGGAAGGCCCCAGAGGCAGAGGGTACTTCAGAGGTGTGAGGTGGAAGTGATCTTCTAGGATGAGATTCCTGAGACTGATGGAAAAGTTTAATCTTCATCGGGTTCTTTTTTCTTTTCTTTCCTTTTTTTTTTTTTTGTGAGGCAATCGGGGTTAAGTGACTTGTCCAGGGTCACACAGCTACTAAGTGTCAAAGTGTCAAGTGTCTGAAGCCACTTTTGAACTCAGGTCCTCCTGACTCCAAGGCCAGAGCTCTACTCACTGTGCCACCTAGCTGCCCCATTTTCATTGGGTTCTTGTTTTGTAAATTTGCTTGAGTTTATAGTAAGCAAACAAACAAGTAAAAATTCTAGAGTTCTTGAGGTGAGGACCTCTGTGTGCTAAATAAAGACTATTGCTAAACAAATAAAAAATGCAAATGCAGTGCTCACACATTTCCCATCTGTTCATTCTTTTTCTTAGAAATATCTCAACCCACTTAAAAATACTGCAAACTCTGCTAAGCTCCCTAGGCAAGGATGCCGGTCTTAGCTAAGAGGAGGGGTTGGGGTGGGATTAGGGCAGAGTGGTGGTTTCCCACAGGAAATCCATTTTGCAGCTTGTAGTAGAACTGACTTCAAGAGCTGGCTAATGAGATTACAACTTGCAAATATTCAGAAATCCATTGTTTATGGGTTGCAGACTAGACTGTAATTGCCAGGTTGTTTATCTTGTAATGCTTAAGATACTGAGCTGCAGCTCTTACCAACAAAATCTAACAAACAAAGCTGAAAAACTGACTTCAAATCAAGGCCTAAAGAAGGGAGATAGTTTAGCCTTGTTGAAAAGTTTAGCCCTGTTGCTTGACCTGTCGCAAACTTATTAAATCTACCTACCTACTGACCTACTTTGCTGCTAGATGGCACAGTGGATAGAGTGCAGGGCCTGAAGTCAGGAAGACTCATGTTCCTGAGTTCAAATCAGGCTTCAGACACTTACTAGCTATGTGACCCTGAACAAGTCACTTAACCCTGTTTGCCTCAGTTTCCGTATATGTAAAATGAGCTAGAGAAGGAAATGGAAAACCACTCTTGTATTTTTGCCAGGAAATCCTCAAATGAGGGACATGGGACTTTTGTACATGTCCACCCATGAATTCTCCAGCTGGGATCTACCTACTATCCTGGAGTCCTTCCTCTATGTCTTTTAACACTGTATTTGTACCAGGGCAGGATATGAGCTGTCCTTCTGTTATACTTTGCCTTCACTCAGTCCATCACTTTTTTCAGTTATTTTCTTGGATGATCTTTTCTGTTACATCTTGTGTAGAAGTTATCACTGGTCATATGCTGCAGTCTTGCTTTCTGGGGAGACCCACCATATGTCTCCATTCTTTTTTTAACTTAAATTCTCCTTCCTTCCTTCCTCTACCAAAAGAGAAAAGAGCGCTCCTATATACTGTCAACCTTCCACAGAGTTTGTTCTAAGAAAAACAAAATTAGGCTGTGTCCACAGTTTTATTTCTCTCAAGCTGGCTTGACATGCATTGCGTGGGAGTTATAGTCCAGAACTGAGCCCCCCTAAAGGGGCCAGTCCAGAACTGGCTGCATTTGGGGGTCGGGGTACAGAGTACCTTGGAACCTTGGTACCTTGGAAGAGTAGGTGTTCACAAAGGGTACCAATCAACTCTGATTTGTCAACACATTGGGAGGTGAGCTATATTAAAATGAGGGTCTTGAGTATGTGACTTAGGTCACTTAATTCTGGTCAAAGAATAACAGGGGCTGGTACCACCTTACCCACAGATCACCCCCAACCATACCAGGCCACTCCTAATCTTGGGCTATCTAGGCAGAAGAATCTATCTCCACCCAAGCCTCTGCAAAAA